TCCCAATATCCACATGATAAAAGTCTTTAAGATTCAGTGTTTTGCTCAATTTATGTGGCAAGGAAAGATTGAAGTCTTGAACTTCAAATAACAATGTTTAATGTTGAATACAAGTGTATTTATCCATTTACCAGGTTATGATCATAAACTTTATTTGTGAAGCTTGGTGTGTTGGCTCACACCTTTAATTCCAGCACTTTTGAGGCAAAGGCAGGAGATCTCTTGAAATTTAGACCAACCAGGTCTACATAGTGAGGTCCAGATAAGCCAGGACTATATAGTGATAATCTGCCTCAAACAAAAAGCTGTTTGTATATCCTATTAAAAAATCACAGCAACTTTGAAGAGAAATTATACTTTTGTTTACTGTAGTCAAAGACTTTGTGAATGATGGTACTTACCTGAAGTCACAGGAGCTTGGTGTTTCCACTCATGTCTTCCTAGCTCCCAGATTCACACAAATCTGATAAAATCCCTAAATTTGATCCATGGAACCAATTGTAAAAGAAAGAAACCAACTCCTCAAAATTTTCCCCTGACAGCCATGAACACTTCATGGCATGGATGCATTTAAACACTTACACTTACACACACACACACACACACACACACACACACACACACACACACACACACAATACAATAATAATAAATATGGAAGTTTTTAAGTTCAAACAAGAAACAATATAGAAGATAGAACCTGGTCATGTAAGACACAAGCTGCACAACCTAGTGATGAGAACATGGGTAGACTGTGAAACAGTTAGGAGGAAACTTTGGAGGTGGGAGTGAAGGAAGGCTAAGAGTGATGATTAAAGGCTGGCTAGAAGTTAGTAAAGGAAGGGAGAAGCAGGAAGTTCTCCTCTGGCCTTGTCCAGTGGAGCTCAACCTTGCCACTGCATTCTCAGTTCCTCTTCTCTTCTTCAGCTCATTCCCCATCCCCCAGTGCTCTTTTAACCTCTGTCACTTGTTGAAATAACAATTTAAATTGGTGTCATCAAAAACAAGCAGCAAGATGGAAAAGCTACAATAAAATGAAAGTAAAGGTGAGTGAGAGATTTCAATGTATTCTACCAAGGGTTAGCTCATGGCAACAGACTAGAAATTAAATTGTCTTTTACTTCTTCCCTTTCCCCAATTATTATTAATTTTTGTTGATTTTACTATCATTGTTACTGCTATTATAATTGTTTTATTATCATCATTATAATAATATATAATTAATTTTTTAAAGTCTACAAAACGAATAATGCCAGGAGATATTTGTAGTCAGCCTGGGCCTTTGCAAATGCCATGCAAGGACCTCCTCTGTACTGTATCTCCAGTCTCAATGAAGTTTCTAAAGCCTTCAGCATTCAGTGTTAGAGTGTGAGACCTCACTGGAAATATGCACAGCAAGAGCTTTGAATGGAGATCTGCTGATATAAAAACAGTTTTCACCTTAGAGAGAATAACAGTAGTTTATTCTGGAGCCATTTTAAGTGATACTAGTTCCATGTTCAAGGTGGAAACAGTTTCATGGAGTTTTGTAGTTTTACAGAAATGGAGAAAGTTCTAAATCAAAGCAAATTTAACATAGATTGGTGGGTACATCAGAGAGGTGGTTATAGAAAAATGGAGGAAGATATATAGGCCATCAGATGACATTCTTAGCTTTCAGGTTGGTGGAACTTTGTGGTCTGTTAAGTTAATAGATTTCATGAAGTCTTTATCTATTAGTCACAGGACATTAGTTCTGACATAGGTGAGCAAGAAATGGCTATTTAGTGGGCTAGAGATATTTTTGGTAAGCTAATGTGTCTAGATCTACAACATTCCAACCTCTCCCCAGCACTGTGGTTTTAATCAGTAAATCAGTCTTTGCTGACACATTTTTTCCCCAGGAATTCTCATTCACAAACCTATGGGCAGAATTCACATTGAAGAAAATTAACCTTATCTCATCTTTAAAAAAGTGAATTATGAACATTTTCACACACAACTGGTAGACTATAGATGAACTAGAGGGATTGTGATATTCTTGTGACTTCAAGGCATAAAAAGTTTTTCTAAGTATATTCTAATGCATATCCCATGTAGTTTTTAAACTAACAACAACAAAATTTTATAAAACAACTTAGATGTTCAGCAGTAGAGGATTAATTAATTTGTGCTGTATACAAGTGACTAATAGCTATAATTATTTTAAAAAAGTTCATAGATCAGTACTTATAAAACATAGAAATGCTTTTCATTTAATAGGAACTACCAACCAGAATCATGGTGTAAATCCGTGTGGTGGTATATAGCTGTAATCCCAGCAGTGAGGAAACTGAATCAAGAGTCCTGTGAGTTTGAGGCAGGCCTGGGCTACATAGTAAGTATGATACAACAATTGTCTCAAAAGAAACAAACAAAAACAAAACAAACACAAAAACAAACAAACAAAAAGCAAAAACCAGAATCAAAGCTTAATTCTATAGCTCACTGATAAAGTATTTGCAGAGCATTCTCAGTGTCTTAGATTTGATTTCCTAGCACCATGAAAATATCAGCAATAGACTACTCCATATAGAATGAAATCTGGGTTCATAGTAAACATTATATATGAATAAAAAGCCAGAAGTGTTTAAAATAAGTTTCACAGTGGAAATTTAAGTACATAAAGACATCGTAAAATACACAGGTGTAATAAACATAATTCAAAAAAACAGGAAATAACTTTTCTTTCCTATTGGTAACATAAGGAAAAATTTCCAAGAGTCTGTTAGAAAATTATGAGTGGAGGAACATCAGTCACTTCTTTTTACTAGTGTTTTATGCTAACACACTGATTTCACTTTCTCTGCAGATGTGTTATATTTTAGTATTCAAATATCAATTATGAACGTGATTGCAGCATCTGACATGATATGTTGTTTCTTTCCTTTGACATCAGAATCTTCTTTCATCATGCAATTTCCTCTTTTCAGTTCGGTTAAGAGGAGGGGCAAAAAGTCCTGAGCTTAAGTATCACCCAGAGGCGATTCAGCTCTGCCTTTTCTCTTGGAGCCTCTGAGAGGATCAGTCCAGGGAAGGCCAACTTTTTCCCCCACCTGGGGGATAAATTCCCTGCAACAAAATCATTTCTGGGTCGAGACACAGGTAACAGCTACTTTTATTGTTTTTCTATCACTCGAGAGAATTTCAGATGTTGTGACATCAGACTGAAATTGCTGGGGGAAACCGTGTTGGTTGTGTTAGATCTGGTTGACTCTGGCAGTATGTGAAAACTGGAGTTTAGCACTGTTTATTTTATTTTTGAGTGGGCTATGACTTCTGCTGTGTGCTAAGAGAGTTAGGTAGAGGGTTCTAGGGAGTTCATTACTCTTTAGCTGGGTCAAATATTTATATATTATCTATCTTAAAGAAGTCATAACAGGAATTGGGCATGATGGATTAGTGTGTAAAGTACTCACTACATGCTACACAAGCCTGACTGACCATCTGAGTTTGATCTTTGGGACTCACATAAAGATGGAATAAGTGGACTCACTTGGTAAAGTTGTCCTCTGGACATGAATATGAACCTCGGCTCAGGCATCCCCTTTCCCCCAAAAAAACACCCAATAACAATAAACAACGATTTTGAAAAGGAATTCTGTGATAGAAAGTTTCCTTTTTCTCAGCAAATAAGGGTAAATTTGAAAAATTTCAGAAAACTTCATAAATTAAAAAACTACAGAAGAATCAATCCATGCACTATTTGTTTTCTATATTATCTGTTGGCTACCACCTCAGTTATGAATGTAAAGGGCAAGGTGAGTTACAACTATTTGTTATTTAATAATTATCACTATCTATTATCAGATTGAATCTTTCATGGGCATTAGCTAATGACTTCTTTATAGTGACAAAATGCATTTTCATATAGGGTCCTATGGCAACATCTTATACTAGAATATAATATGTGAAATAATCATGTACATGGAATGATTTGAGACTAAAATTTCAGGTTTTTTTTCTGCTATGCCCCTCTTTATTGCTCCCACACCCCACCCCTGGAATCCCCTTTTGTTTTCATGGTTGCTACCATCACTCCAAGTTCTGTAGCATATCTGAAGAGTTGGAGCTAGGAGCCTCAGATGTGAGAGAATTACCCCATGCAGTAGGATCTTTCCTAGTTCCATGCATTTACCAGGACTGACCTTGGAGAAGAATGTGTAGTCTAAATCTGGGTGGAGAGGTTGGATAGCTTAGGTGCTTGGACTTAACGAAAAAAGTATGTATGTGTTTTGGAGCCCAAAATGATAATTACCTGCAGTATTAACCTTCATGTATTGTTTTGGAGGGAAATTCTGAGAGTCAAATACAATTAAAAAGACTGCAAGAACTTTCCTTTTATATTCAAATATTTATCAAAATGTATACACAAGCTGGGAGGTGGTGGTGCAAGCCTTTAATCCCAGCGCTCGAGAGGCAGTCAGGTGAATCTCTGTGAGTTTGAGGCCATCCTGGTTTACAGAGCAAGATCCAGGATAGGCACCAAAACTACACAGAGTAACCTTGTCCCCCCAAAAAAATGTATAAACAATTTTAAAGCAAAATTTTTAGATATTCATAAATCTCTGACTGTTGTTAAAATTGATAGTTTAAAATGCTTCAAAGATTTGCGGTGGTACCAATTATGCCTAACATATTTTTTATGTTAAATATTTTAAACAAATAGGCTGTGCCAATATTACAATAACTTAATAGTAAATTTTTAATTCTTTTTTAATTTCCTAATAATAAGTGCTGTGAACATTAGAAGTATAAATGTCAGAAATCTTCAAAGACTTCTCACATCTAGTGGAAATCATGGTCAGTCCATGTGATTTAGGGTGTTTGGATCATTAGGGGAATTAATCAGACCCCACCTCTTCCCACCCCACTGCAGCATCAGATCCAGGTACCTTCCTGAAGGTGGACATTTTAACTTTTTCTTTAGAAATCACTCAAGGCCAGGTTGTAACACAAAACATACTTCATTTCCTCCCACGATGGGTGATGACGAGGTCACTTACACAACTGTGAAATTCCATAAGTCTTCAGACTTGCAGAATCGAGGAAGGGCTGATGAGAAGCAAGGGCCCAGAGAAGCTGGCCGCAGGGGTAAGTGTTTTAAGTGTCTAAATTCACCTGTTTTATGCATTCTAACTTTTGACATTTGAAAACAGTATCCTACTGGCTTCTATGGAAAACAATAACCCCTCCATTTTAGGTGGGCTTGGTGATGCACAGGGGGAGGGGAGAGATAAATGAGTATAAGTGGGGGAGTAATCATGTACAAAACTGTTCAAAAATAAGTTTAAAAATTAAGTGATAATTCTTAAAAAGATAAAAGGAAAAGAAAACTATTCGTAACTGTTAGCTGGTAACAGTGAAAGCCAGATGGATAGAGGAGATCAGTAGGCATCTATAAGAAAATAGTTGTTGAAAATTAACAAGTGAGAAGCAAATACATTTCATCAATTTGAGAAACTGTTAGGAGGTTTTTTATTATTAGTCTAGTCTAGAAGAATTCTGAAACCTTTAAAAGTAACAAACTAAGCCGGGCGGTGGTGGCGCACGCCTTTAATCCCAGCACTTGGGAGGCAGAGTCAGGCGGATCTGTGTGAGTTCGAGGCCAGCCTGGGCTACCAAGTGAGTCCC